AATGGCTGATGCAATTGATATTATAAAGCCTATTGGGCCAGGTCATTTAAATGGAATAATATTTTATTACAGCCATCTTCTGTGCCTCAGTGCTTAGTAATTTGCAATGAGAAAAAAAATCTAATTAAGAGATTGCATCAAAATAATAGGGTTTCAAAATGTCCTAACAACCATTTTAAGTTGAGACTGAGCTCCTTTCTTAAATTGGGGGAGAACAAATAGACTTTGTGTTTGCTGCAGGTTTAAAGGCTTTGACCTGTTAAATTTAGTGTCCTCTTGATCACACTGAAAACACGTTCGCACTCACATGGTTGCACTGTGGCAGTTATCGTCCCAACAGTTCCATTTGCGCTGACCTCTTGATCCTCCCATCCTCTCTGCTTTCATATTCACTGGTCTCCCTTCCTCAAGTACCCCCAGTGGTCCAGTCCATTACTGGTATCAGCACTTCTTATCTACTGCACTTGGCTATGGTAACATCACACTCTACCCCCATTCCTCCACCACCATCACCACCCACCCTTGTGTTGCAGTCCAGGCCAGTCACCAATCATGCAGGAGCCATGATGGCCAGGCTATATATCCCCCATTCCATCTGTAGCTGGCACTCTTGCATCACATTTGCACTGCTTACTCCTTTCCCAGGCGCCTTTGCTCTCTCTTCCTCTCACTCTCACTGCTTTGCTTTCCCCTCTTTTGGTAGTTCTACCTCTCCTTCTTTTTTCTCTTTTTCATTACTTCCTCTGCTCTTTTTTCTTCTTTGGTTTTTGCTTCTACCCTCTCCCTCCCTACGTATCTTTTCCCTGTGTCCTCTTTCCTCCTTAATTCCCCGTCTTCACCTCTCTCTAATCTTGTTCTCATAGCTATTTCTTTTAGTCCCCCAGAAACACTTCCATCTATCATCAGATGGCTCTGCCACATTTCTGTGTGTATCTTGTTTTTTTCCGTCGCTGTCCGTTTCTTTGCCTCTTAGATCTCCTCCCTTTTCTAACCCTAACTGTTTTCTGTTTTGACCAAATTTTTAACTTTTGCTTGCACCTCAATAACTTCTTTCTAGCAATCTGTCGTGCTTTCCTTCCCACTTTTCTTTCCTACATCACAACTGCTATACCACTTGATCTTTTTCTTCCCCCTCTAACTCTGGTCTCCCATCCTTTCCTTCCCCTCCCTCCCCAGGCTCTGTGAGCTGTGGGTAAATAGGTGCATCTTTCCTTGCTTCCTGTTTCAAATGGCTTCATGATTGCTAATGAAGCACTCAGACAGAAAAAAAAAAAAAAAAAACATTTTCGGGGGNTCTGGTCTCCCATCCTTTCCTTCCCCTCCCTCCCCAGGCTCTGTGAGCTGTGGGTAAATAGGTGCATCTTTCCTTGCTTCCTGTTTCAAATGGCTTCATGATTGCTAATGAAGCACTCAGACAGAAAAAAAAAAAAAAAAAAAAAAAAAAAAAAACATGATGCGGAGGAGGAATGGATGGAAGGAAGGAGTGTTTCCCATGGAGACGGGCCCTTCACTGGCTGGCTAGCTGATAGGCTGATTGATGACCCTGTAGCCATGTTGACTGATTAGTGTGACAGAGCCTTTTATAGCACAGCTTAATATGAAACCACGATGCACAACATACTTCGGTTTTGAACAGTATGGTGTTGCATAGGCCCCATCCTGCAATATCAAACTGAGGCATAGGAAGTGCAGTAAAGTTATGTCCAAACTTATTATAGAATGCCATAACACAGCTTAATGCTTAATTCAGTGCTTCATTCAAGTGTTCACCATCCATCTAACCTATCTGCACTATGCATTTAGAAACAACAAACTGATATCTGTGTTTTCGCTTGTTTGAGCATTCCTCTCTCATTCCTTTCACATTAGAGACAACTGGGAAACTGTTCTCTGGCTTTACATAACTACGTGATCAAAACAATAATGAGTAAACAGGAGTGGGAGACAAAGCCATGATTTCTGAGGTATGAGTCAGCATAAGGACAAATGGTCAGTACAGTATGAAATAGTCATGTTAAATGTGAAATTTAAACCCTGCTCTCTCGCGCTCATTTTTTCCTAATTCTCCGCATTTTACCCCTCCTGCACTGTGGAGCTCCTATTCTTTCTGTCTCACTCGTTTGACGTAGCCCACACAACACACAACAGAGATCCCAGCTGACACAAGAGACACATACAGACTTGCATGTCCGATCTATCAAGCTCATTCTTGCACCTGCAGGAAATGCTCAATATTTGAAATGCGGGCTGAGTCATCAACAGACTTTGCAAGAAGGGGAGGATAGTGAGAGCTGTAGTTGATTTGATCATATCTGATTTTTGTGACCAGTTGTGACAGCTCATGCTACACTGCAGTAGCTTATTTTTACCCCAATTTGATGACAGTTGGTAGACGATAGTAGAATTCTCTTTTTGGGGTGATGCAGTCGTGACCACTTGGTATGGTACCACACCTATATTTCAGCCTAAGAATGATATTTATTGTGTTGCTGAGTGTAGTTACATTAAAAGGTTAAACTATCTCCTAATCTGTCTCTCTGGCCCTTCCTGTCTTTACATTCCGGATATCCACCCTCTCCAAGATCACACACAGTCCAGTCTGCTGCCTCTAAATATATTTTTCAGGAAGGAACATTTTATCGTTTCTTTTTTTTTTTATATAGTTAAATTACTTTTTTTCTGTGATATAATTTTCCTCCTCTGCACAATTCTTCCTTCCCTATTTTTACTGCAAAAATAGTCTTTCCCCAACGGGATCATCATATCCACCCCAGCCTCGTAATGTAGAACAATGTTAGAGGACAATTAAATTATACATTTACAACAAATGCTGTCTTAGTCTACAACATTTGACAAGCACAGGATATCGTCTAAAACAACAAAATGTAAAAATGCTCACCCTCCCTCTTCAGCTGCCCTTTTTAACTTCTGTCTCTTACTGTGTCTGTCTCACTCTCTCCCTCTTTTTGTCACTTTCTAATTTGTCAGAGCTGGACTGTCACCCTCACAAACACACATATCACTCTCTTCCTTTGACAGGCTCCACTGCAGGTTAAGCACATCAAGCTCTCGGCTAACTGCTCCATTCTTTTTGTGATGCACTGTGTCAACCTCTCGCTCTCCTTTCTATTCAAACAACCTCACTGTTGAATTCCTCTGCCTCAGATGTTGAAATGCTACAGTGTTGGAGAGACAAACCCTCATATTGCTCTTGTGGCCCTCGCAGGTACTCTCCTTAACCAGCTCTCCATTTGCCACACTTCTTACTGGTTATGTAAACTGGTGTCGTCAGCTACGCTACTAGGCCACAGCTTTGCCTGCCCGCACAGGCCTGTGGATCTTATAATGTGCTGCTAATGTGCTGATTTTTGATTAATCTTAGTTTATTTTAAAATTGAGTTTGTTTTTTTTGTTTTTTTTTTTTTATAGAGGTTAATGACAAAGAAAAATCTGAATCTGTGCTTGTAGTATCCTCTTTGTCATCTGTCACCCACATGTTGCCCACACCAAACATGTGATGATGTTCTTCACTGATATGTGCTCCCAGGGTAGTTCACATCACCATTCTTTCTCTTTTATCATGTAAATAAACCAGTGTGCTTGAGACCCTCTTACACTTTAAGAGGAGAGAGACGGAGAGTTACAGTACTGCACTGGTCTTCAATCCTACATATCGTGGTCTCCAAACTCAAACTGGCTCACCTGCCCATTACATGTCTGCTAACCACTGTGTATGTTGTATGTTATCTTTCTTTGTTAGGCAGAAAACTGTGAGGCTATATTATGATTGAGAGGGGTGGTATTGTCGAAGATGAGAAATGCACAGTTAACAGCGAGACCCGAATGCATTTGTCACCATAAAAAGCCCCCATACTGATTGATGAAGGCACAACAGCTGGCAATGCAATGAAAAGTGAAATGAGGATCTATATTTTCTGGCAAAGTGCAAGACAGTCTTAACGCCCAAACAGTCTTTCACCTTAATTTATCACCTTTTCACTCATTAGTTACAAGACTAATAATACCAGTTTGTAATGTAGAAAATAAGCTAGGTAATACAATAAGCTTGCATCACTGAAAAGCATTATGTAATGAGCATTTCAGTTAACAGCAGGTGTGAGGATAGCACTGCTGTTCTTCTCTGTCGACACACCACTGCATCTTTTAAGATCTTAAGGCATTTGTAGAACTTAAGAACTTAGATTAAATACATGCTTTTGATCAGCCACACTCTGATGAAGAACCATTCAATGATCGTGTAAAATAAAAACTGAACAAACTCATGTTACATGTAAATAATATAACAATAGGAGGTGTTGTGAGATTTTAAAAAAAGCACCATCCACTCCTGCACTGTGATTCATTCTGCCTGAGTCATTCAGCACATGTAGGGTTAAAGTATAGCTGCAGCGTCTTACTGCAGTGTCTAAAGCATTTGGCTGATCGTTACAGTATACGCCAGAAGATGAGAAGGGGGAAAAAAACATCTCTCTCTAAAACTTCCTTTTTTCTTCCAAAAATCCATTTTATTGCATTTATAACATTTGGCACAGTACAAATTCTTGGTGCTTTTACAAGATAAACCTGTAAAGATCAACACTGACCTTTTTTCGGTTTTTGTTAAAGAAAGTCTTCTCTGTATAAATATTTTTTCTTATCACTGCATTCTCTGTAGCATGGTGTAAAAATCACACAGAATGCCCCTTTTTAAAACAAGACTACCCTCATTTGTCAAAGTCAAGACAGCATCTTAAACAACTCATTGTTTTAAATAGAAGTTACAAGTTAGAAAATAGTTTCAATTTCTTTTTAATATATGTTTCTCTATCACCAGCCCATGGTAGTTTCAATTTGTCCATATATATATATTTATTTATAAGCATGTACAACAAGAAATCATCAGTCTTTTTAAGTTTGCACTCTGTACAAAAAAGTAGTTCCTGTCCTTTTTCCGTTGTGCATTCTATTGCATGATTTTATGAGGAAAAGACGCAGGGAGGTGTGGGACAGGGGTGGGTGGGAGCTAGGGGCCTAGGGAAAGGAGTGGGAGCCTTTTGGGGGGCCTTTTAAATCTGAGTCTCCTGTACCTTCTCCTTGGTATGAGTTTTTATGACAAAGGGCTCAGCCATTGCTGTGATGGTGCTGGGCAAGGTTCGAGGCAAAGAGTTCCCAACATTGTTGTCTGTCCATTTAGCCCCATGGCCAGTTGGTTTGTAGGTGTTGTATTTAGGCTTTAGAGTGCTGTAGTCCACTTTATGGGGGCTGTAGTCCGCTTTGTGTGGACTGTAATCAAGTTTAGGTCTCTGAGAGTGTGGACTAAAGTCAGACTTGAAGGCGCTGTAATCCGCTTTGTGTGGGCTGAAGTCAGTCTTGAAGGCGCTGTAATCGGTTGCAGTCTTATGGGGGGTGTAAGGGTCCTTGGGTTTGTAGGAAAGCTCAATTTTAGATCTCTGGGAATTGTAGTCTGTTTTGGGTTTCGGTTGAGTGCTATAGTCAGGCTTAAATTGGCTGTAGTCAGGTTTAGGTCTTGGGTGAGTGCCAAAGTCGGGCTTGAACGGACTGTATTCAGCCTTAGGTTTATGTTGTGTGTTGTAGTCTGATTTTAATGGGCTGTAGTCATGTCTAGGTTTTGGTTGGGTGCTGTAATCTCGTTTGAATGGGCTGAAGTCAGATTTCTGCCTAGGATGAGTGCTGTAATCTGGTTTGAAGGGGCTGTAGTCCGTTTTAGTTTTTGGATGGGTGCCAAAGTCTGGTTTGAATGGGCTGTATTCTGCTTTAGGTTTGTGAGAGCTGTAGTCCTGTCTAAATGGGCTGTAGTCAGGCTTTGGTCTATGAAGGCTGAAATCTGGTGTAGATTTGTGAGTGCTGTAATCTGGGATGGTTTTGTGGCTACTGAAGTCCATATTTGGCTTATATGTGGTATACTCAGCCTTCGGCTTGTGAAGGGTGAAATCAGGCTGGGGTTTGTATTCGGCCTTGGGTTTGTGAAAGCTGTAGTCAGTCTTGTGGCTGATAAAGTCCAGTTTGTGTATGCTGTTATGGTCCCGGATTTCAGGCAATGTGAGAGCTGTCTCTTGAGCTGCAGATGCTGGTGGTGGAAGGTCCTCCTCATCCACCTGGATAATCTCCACAGTGCGGGCAGCTGCCACTGTACTCCTCTGCTGGTGGCGCTTTCTCAATTTGTAGAAGGCAATGAGCATGACAGCAGCCAACAGTGTCACTGCCACAAAACAACCTATTATGATCTTGGTGGTCTTCATCACTTCATCCAGGCTAGGGCCAGACTTGCCTGGCTTGCCAGTGGCACCTTGGAGTCCTGGCACCACAGATGGCTTAGCTGCACCTGGTGGGCTATCAGTGCTTTGCAACAGCACAGTTGGTGTAGAGATGAAGACTGGCTGGAACACAGAAGGAGAAGCAGTTGTAGTTGTTGTCCCAAGGCCTACCCCTCCTCCTCCAGCGACCCCTGCCCCTGCAGCAGCAGCTGTGGCCGTGGTGGTTTTAGGTTTGGGCATCTCAGTGGTTGGCCCCAAGACCTCCACAGTCACTGTGGTGAAGTAACTCAAGTTGGATGTATTAAGCTCAGCTGCACTCACATTGAGGTAGGCTGAAGCATTGGAGTTCCCAGCTGCATTGGACACCATGCAGGTGTAAGTGCCTGTGTCTGCTGCAAGAACATTTGAGAAGTTAAGAGTACCATCATTGAGGACTGATATTCTCGGGTGACCAGAGGCATGTGTCAGGATTGTCCCATTGGGCAGTAGCCAGCGTACTGAGGACATTGGAGCCGTGCGGCATCGAAGCTCAGCCACTCGCCCCGCTGAGATGTTCAAGTCTCTTGGCGCATCAGCAATGAATGGTGCAGAACATTGGACCGCTGCGCCCTCTCCTCGATCCACCTCAACCAGCTGTCGACCTCTCATGCTGGCAGGTGAGTGACAGCGTCCACAGCATGTTGAGTTAGTAGGGATGTACTCCCTCAGCCAGCGTGCTAACCATACAGCTTCACAGCCACAGGTCCAAGGGTTATGGTGGAGATGGAGCTCCACCAGGAACCCGAGCGGAGAGAACAGATCATGTGGCACAGCGCTCAGATTATTATGGGCGAGATTAAGCTCCACCAATGACTTTAAGTCGTCAAAAGCATTGCGCTCTATCACTGTGATTTGTGAGTTCATCACCCATAGCTTTTTCAGTGAGCGCAGGCCTTTGAAGGAGCCTGGCTTTATTTCAGGGAAGTGATTTTCGGATATCTCCAGTTCCTCCAGGCCCTTCAGGGGACTCAGGTTTGGCATATCACCTCTTATGTTGCACATGCCCAGGTTGAGGTACTTGAGGTTTTGTAGGCCCTCAAAAGCTCCTTCTGAGATGTACTCCAGTTTCCTTAACTCTCCCAGGTCCAGTCGCATGAGGGAGGGAACCCGGTTGAAGGCATAGGAAGGGATACTCTCAATGGGGTTGTTCCTCAGCCACAGTTCTCTCAGTTTAGACAGGTACTCAAAGGCCCCACTAGGCACCACTGTCAACCGGTTGTCAAACAGCTCCAGTGTGTTGAGGCTGGTGAGTCCATTAAATGCGCCCACCTCAATCTGACGTATGGCATTTCGCCCAAGCTGGAGCACCTCAAGGTGGTGCAGGTGGCGAAAGGAGTCAGCCTGCACCGCCTCGATGGCGTTTTCCATTAGATTGAGGTGTCGCGTGTTGGCAGGAATGCCAGGGGGCACACGGGTGAGGCCACGTCGGGTGCACACCACCTTCCCCTGCTGATTACTGCAGGAACACTGCGGTGGACAGCCCTGGGGTCCTTGAGACACCGCCGCCCCTGCCAAGGCCAGGGAGGCGCTGCTCCACGCTCGCGCCATCAGGAAGACTACACAGAGCAGGGCGGCTTTCCTGGCACGATGCACAGCTACCCGCCCCAGGAGACTCATGATGTGGCACGTTCATAATTCAGCATCATCTGGGGGGGAGGATTGGGGTGTTTGGGGCAAGTGTTTGGGGGCTTTGGGGACAGGGAAAGTAGCTGGTTGGCTGGTGGTAGTGTTAAGGGCACCAGAGTAAAGGGGTTAAGGGAACTGAAGAGGATAAGGGGAGAATGTGGGTTTGGGGTGTTTGTTAAGGGGCAAGAGGACTTGACCTATCCTCAATTAAGCAATGCTTTTATTTCCATGAACTGTGCTCAGGGGCAGAAGGAGAGGAGAGGGAAGAAAGGGCTGGCTTTTCTGTAACGTGTGTATGAGAAAGACATGGTGGTAAATTAAACAACAAAAAACCGTATTACAAGACAGAAGGGAGGGTAGGGTGTTACAAATTGATGCAAAGAGGGGTTGAAACACTAGACACCTACCTCAAGTTATTATTACAGGTCCTTGAACTGAGATATATAGCTTCCCTCCTTTTTTGCAATCAGAAAGAGCTGTGGTATTCAGATCAGATGTATGTATATCCAAGAGCAGCAAAGAAAGCCTTTTTATATTTGCTGTCAAAACAGGTATCAATGCCAAAGAGCTTAACCAAGATGAGCCCTTTTGTAAATCCACACATCCAAAGAGAAAGGTTCGAAGGCCCTTAGTGAGTGTTTTTTCTCCCTTTCCTTGTTGATTAGAAAAAAAAAAAGAAAAAAAAAAAGATTGTAGATAGGAATCCAGTCAGGCTCCCAAAGCAGCAGTGCTCCCTTGCTCGCTTCTTGCTGTCGGCTCCTCTTCTCTGGCTTGTCCTTGGAATCCGACAGTTGATCCCCCTGCTAGACACCTTACCCAGGTCTCCATAGCACAGGCGACCACACAAACACACATGCACAATTTTTTGTGCACCAAAAGCCAAGGCAGAAAGGACAAAAAAAGGGAGGTAGGGGTGGGAATGAAAAGGTTGAATGAAAATTCCACAGTCCTTTCCAGTGTTCTTTGCCTTTTGTTTTGCGATGGTTAGGAGGGGAGGTTGACAAGTCCAGAAAAAAACAGACCCCCTCCTCTCTGTATTCCTCTGTTCACTTTTTAGTGGTCAATCAGTTGGTCAGTTGATCAGTCTGACAGCTCTTCTCCCTCTCTCGTTCTTTTCCCCTTGCTCCCCCTCTGTGGCGTCGTGTCCACTTGATTTTTTCTTATGATTTTTTTTTTTTCTTTTCTCCTCCAGGAGTGCTCGGCAGGGGTTGAAAAGCCTAGACGACACACACTGCTTTCATTAGCTTCTTCCTCCTCTTAACTAGCCACACGCTCCAGCCTCGGCAGCCGTGGTGGCGACAGCAGCAATTGCAAACGCGCACACACCATCCCTGCGAAGCACACAGCAGCAGTAGCGAGCACACACAGCAGCAGCTGCAGCCTGCCTCCCGTGCACTTCCCAATAATCCGTCAATTTCTTCAGAGGGGGAGTGGGGTGGGGGATGGAAGGGGGTGCTGGGAGGAGTGGGGGTGTTGTAGCTGGGTTGATCGAGGTGGGTTAGAGGGAGGAGGGGTGGTGCGCAGTTTCTCCTTCCTCTCTCCGGCGTGCTTCTTTTTTCTTCTTGTTTTCCAGGTCTTTTTTTTTTCCTCCTCTCCTCGTGGTGATCAGCACCCTCTCGCTAATGCAGCGTCCGACTGGGGAGAGGAGCAAGACAGGGAAGGCAAGCGCTGGTCGAGCGCGCGGCTTACAGGCGTGACGTTAACAGTAGCGTCGATGTGGAAAGGATCCGTTGTAGCAGCAAAAGAGAGAGTGTGCGCTGGCTTGTATCTCTCTCTCTCGCTCTCTCTCTCTCTCTCTCTGTTTTACACTCTCTCTCTTGCTCGCTCTCTCTCACACTCACTCTCTCACACTCTCTCTCTCTCTCCCTTCCTCCCTCCTGCTCTCTCTGCAGTGTCCTGAGGTAGTTGGGTGAGCTCAAAGCACTCAGACCTTTTTAGAGATCTACCTCTTCAAAAACCAGTTTGCTCCTGCTGTCCGCCGCTCTCCTTTTTAATACTCAGAGTCTCTTGTTTTGTGGCTTTCTGGGGCTTTGTGTGGCTTAGGGGAATAGACAGGCTGTCCATGCAAAAGGCAGAGATGGACAGTGGCATCCCCACAGCAACCAGATTTTAACCCTGTCCTCCCCAGCAATAATCCAGGCATTCCAACGATTCTGGCAAAGCTTTCCAGCATTGCTTCGGTGGCAAAGGCAGGCAGATGGGACACCGTCTCTCTCTCTCTCTCTCTCTCTCTCTCTCTCTCTCTCTCTCTCTTCCCCTCTCTTCCCCCTTCTCTCTTTCCCTTCTCTGCTCAGTTGGATTTTTTTTTTCACTTTATATCCCCTCACTCCCTCACTCTTTTCGTTTCGTCCTTTAGTGGAAAATAGAAGAACATGAATGGACTGCTGACGCATCCTGCTTGGAGCAGTGCTTTGGTTTGATGCAGTGTGTTTTGTGCATTAACTCCCCCCCACCCACATCACCCTCACCCTCCTCGCTGTCTTCCCTCCTCTGCTCACTCTTCGTCCGTCACTGTGTCACTCTACTTCATCTCTAGCTGTCTATCTCTGTGTATACAATCTCCCACAAGCTCGCATTTGCATCCGTTTTTGTCACTGCTTTATTGTGTGCGTCTCCTCTTCAGTTTTATTGTTGGGTTGTTAGGACATCAAGTGTGATTTAAGCCATCTCCATCTCGACATTACTCTTCTGTGCAATGGAACAAAAACTTTGGATTGTAAGAATTTGATTAGGTTACTTTTATTGATACCAAATGTTACATAAATACACTTTGACCCAAACTGGGACAGGAGTAGGCAGGTGAGTTTTTAAATACTGAAATGATACAAGAAAGTTCAGTGTATGATATAAAATCACAAGGCAGAATTTTCTGCTCTGTGTCTACACCTTTTGCATTGTTTCACTCTCCATCCCCCTCCATCATGTAAGCCTTTGCAGGTAGTTAGAGCACTCTAAACAGACAGGCCTTAACCCTCAATTTGAGCACAAACTGTCGCTCCAGGAAGCACGCAGCCATAAAGGTCATGTTAAGGAAGGCGAACAGGAGAAAACAAGACATGCTTTACCTTCCTGCTGCGGGAAAGGAAGCAAAATGAACGCACCCTACTGTCCCATCGTCCCTCTCTCTCCAATGATTTGTACGAGCCTCATGTCCACTAAACTAGGAAGCAGTGTGGGTAATTGATGGTTGGTAAGGCTAGCTGTGACAGTACTGCTAGGTGTGTGTGTGTTTGTGTCGGAGCTAGTGAGTAAGCGTGTGAAAGAGAGAGAGAAAGAGAGAGAGGAGAGAAAACATGCGAGCTAGAAAAGGTCACACCGCCTGTAGCACAGTATGTTATTCCCACCGGCACAGGAGTATAGAGCCAACTCCTATATTATACACACACATCTACACACACACACACACACACACACACAGACTTTCTCCTTGACTTCACTGCAGTTGAATATGAATGGGCTTCAATGAAGCACATATAACAGTGAGGTGGCAGCCACAGGAGTATAGGGGGGATTTTCCTGTGTTAGGGAAGAGAGGCTATTTCCTTTTCTTTCCACATGGGATTCCCTAGCACTGTGGCCATGTGGAAGGTGATATAAGGAGTGCTGCACTACTGCATCCAAGTGAAAACATAATAATGCAGGTATATATTGAATCAGGCATACAAAAGCAGGCTATACGGATGCAGGATGTTTGGCAAATGGGCTGCTCAAAACAACACCAACATTTCATTGATCTGTTGTCGGTTAAGCCAACTGCAAATGGAGGCTTCTGGTTCTCTGTGTGCTTATTGATGACAAAAATCAGATGTAGTACAGAGTGCATACTGGCACTGCTTGCTCTGTTTGTGTGTCAGATGGTGCCCAGGCACTGTCCTGTAGGTGTGGTGTGCCACCATTTGATGAGCAAGTGACCCAGAATGAGTTCAGGTTGTGTTTTACCCACCCAGCACAGAACATCCCAGACTACTATCTAACCAAAATCAACCACTGACCCAAAACATGCCCAACACTGCAAGGGTAGCTCTCTCCTCTTGGCCCTGTTCCTGTCTATTTCTCTTTCCTGTCTTTTCTGTTCTCACTCTATTTTTGTCTGTCAGTGGACACTCTGCTCTCTCACTACCGATGGAACCTGGGTCATGGCCTGCCAAACTCTGTGATGCTCCACTGACCAAAAGTGGTCAACCCCATGCGTTATAGTTTGATCCTAGCCTGGAATGACCAACATGGCTGGATGGTCAGCCAAACTCTGATCACAGCAAGGTTTTCTCAAGGTCCAGCGTGTGTGTGTTGTGTGTGTGTGTTGTGTGTGTGTGTGTGTGTGCGCCTCCCACCTAACATGGCTTTACTGACAAAGGCAAAGAGGTGAATCTAAAAACCCTTGCCTTACCAGGTTGAATCTGATTTGGTGGTTCAGGCCAATGATGAGTTTGTAAGCCTGACTACGCTGTTTAATTTGGAGTGTCTTTCAAAGTTTAGGTTATATCAGTATATCCATGGTGCATAGTAGCCAACACGCAGGTCAAACAGTGGTCCCATATGTTCACAGTATAACATGCAGTGTCTTGACAAGAAAAGTGTTGTCAGGCCTTAACTCCAGGACTTACTGACCGATGACTGCTTGACGAGCTGTCAGATGTGTGGGACCTTCACTCTGTCATGCCAGCCCCTTGCCCCTTTTGTGCGATCCCTGCCCTCCCTGGTTCTCCCAAGGCTCTGTGGAGCCACCCCCTACACCAGACCAGGAGGTCACTGGGTGTAGTTCGGGGGTACCGCACGACCTACTTTGGTGCGGCTTGTCCACCAGTCAGCCAGCATGTTCGAGGGGTATATGCAAACAGTACAGAACCCATCCCCTGGGGTGAGTGCTTGAAAATCTGGGCTGCGGCCAGTCACATGTAGGTCAGCAGCCTGTGTCTGCATGTGTGTACGTGTCAGTAGTTCCATTTGGATGAATGGCCTGCAGTATGGTATAGCAGCAATGACAATCGGATTAGTTGAATGTACAGTTGAATGATAGATCTAATGATAATGTCATTGCCTCTGCCATTGCCAGGATCAAGGATTTGTAGTACAGGCCCTTGGGCAATCCACATATGGTTTTCTGTGTGTGTACAAGCGAGACAGAGAACGATATTTTCTCAAGGAGACATGAGGCACACTATTTTTGGGGTTGTCTTGTGTTTTGAGAGCAATTACAAATTTTATGCATTTAAGTATGTGCGTGCGTGCGTGCGTGCATGCGTGCGTGCGTGTC